TCTGTTCATTTCCAATCCATATGCTGAATAAATAACCCCAGAAGCTGCATTATATGGAGAAGAAGATGGCATAAGGCTTGGAGGAAGACTTCTACATGACGACACATATTTCTTGCAGAAAGTTAAGAAGACATAAAGCACTTACCGAAGAAGACCCAAGACTATAACCTTCAGCATGAATTAAACCTCAGGAGAATAAAAATTCTCGCAATTGGACCAACATAATACAGAGGGAGAAAAGACTGATGGTGCCAATAATTTTATTTTACTTGGATCCATAATCAGCACCTATGGCAGAAGCAGGCAAGAAGAGACTTTTTGCTGCCAAAGAGTCTTTATTATGCTCAATAATATTGGCATCAATTTAAAGACTAAAATGTGCTTCACCCAATCATCATATTTTCCATTGCTTCATATGGACAATGAATAAGGAAGACAGAAGAAAAAAATGATACCTTAGAATTGTGGTGTTGACAAAGTCTATTGAGTATCCCAAAGATTTCCAAAAGAAGAAGCAAGCCAGGCTTGCAGGAAGTTTAACCAATAAGGTGATCTTTAGAGGAAAGGATGGTGAAATTTTGTCTCATATACTTTGGGTGTGTTGGGAGGAGGAGCCAACCCTTGGAAAAAGACATCATGCTTGGAAAGGTGAGGGGTCAGTGAAAGAGAAGAAGATCCTTAACAAGGTGGATTGACACAGTGACTTATAACAATGCTTGAGACCATGGGATGGCTCAGGACAGGACAAAGCTTTGATCTTTTGTTCATTGGGTAGTTATGAGTCACCGTAGACTAAAAACAATAACATTAGTAAAACTGCTTCTTCATTCTCTTCCTGGAGGCCCATTGTCATTTTTGTATCTCAGGATCCTTTAGGCACAAGCTTTCTTGCATCTCTTTGCTTTCAATGAAAGTAATAAATAAAAACAAAACAAAAATAAACTCCAACCATTTCGGAATAGATTTTTAGACCCTTAACCTGCTAGATCTCAGAGAAAAAGGATATAATTCTTGAGGTAAATGGCTAGTCTAGTCATCGAGGTAAAGGAACTCTGCTTCTAAAATCCAACATCGATTCAAGACTCGTGTTAAGGCCTTATAAATAGAGTTAAGGCTCTGCTTTTAGACTTCTCTATTTATACATCAATCCTTGGAGAAGGACATCATGCTCGGAATGGTGAGGAGACAGCACAGCAGAGAAAGATCCTGGATAAGATGGATTGATACAGTAATTAGGGAAATGAGGGTTGGTGTGTCAGAGTCAGTGAGACTGGCTCAGGAAAGGGCAGGCTTCAGAGCTATTGCACATAGGGCCACTATGAGTCACAGGTGACTTGATGGCACACAATAATAACAACAGCATTTACACACAATCGAAGTGCCTCTGATTTTAGACTCTCAAACAACCATGAGATGAATGGCAGCCTGGCTGAGGACAGTAGTTGCTAAATAGATAAAATAAAAAGAACTATTACCGATATCCCCCGTCTTTTATGACCCAAAGTTACTTATGGCTTACAGAGTCAAGAAAAATGACAAATCAATGGACTTTCACTGCTTTATTTAATACCTACTAATTATATCCCCTACAGAGGTTTTTCTCCATTCTAATGTTATCTTCTTAACACTACAGATTTGAGAACAAAGGATCTAAAGGTTGAAATATGTAGGCTAGAGTAGGGGGCAGGGGACACCCAGAAATGAAAAATTAACATTGGTTTAGGACATTCTTTTTAGAAAAACATTAATTTTTGAAGGACACACCAACTGTACTAGTTGGAAGTTCAGCAAGTCCAAGACTCATAGTCAAAACAAATGTGATGATTTTTAGGGGTATTTTGACTCTTTAGATTTACATATACTTTTTTTATTTTCTGGCCAAGTAATGGAAATAATTCTGTACCTCTGGGAGGTGATAGACTTTTAAATTTCATTTTAGATTGGTTTACTTGGTATAAATTTTGACATATCTCATAATGCTGATGATAAGTTAGCACCATCTTGGGGAATAAAGGAATTACCTGCAATTAAATGTAGTTTCATTTAAAACTGGCCTCAGAGGAATTCCTGTGTTAATTATGTTTATGTTCTATTCATAACAGTAGAAGAGTACTGAACCAAGGAAAGAATCCTTTTTAACAGAAATCATTCCTGCAGAAAATATGCAGTTTTCTGTTTCTCTTTAAAGGATAATAGTGAAGCTTTTAACCAGTTAGGATATTCAAAATATGTTCTGAATGGGTAGAGGTCAGATGCAGCTACATTTAAATCACAGGAATGTCAACACCCTTTTGTTGATATTACCTGTCATTGAGTTGGCACCAACTTATATAATTTCAGAGTGGAACTATTCCAAAAGGTTTTCTTGGCTGGTTAAATGGTTAAGCACTAGCCAAAAGGTGGACACTATGAACTTACTCACATGAATCTTGGAATATAGGCCTGGAGATCTTCTGAATAGTGACAGCCTTGAGAACATCATGGGGTCGTACTACTCTGTACACTTGAGAACACCATAAATTATAATTTACAGCAAACAACAAGCATGTGAAGTAGATCACTGGCCCTCTCTTCTAAGGAGTCATGGATGGGTTGTGTGGCATAAGCATAAAAGTTGACTTTTTAAGCCATTGAAGTTAGCTCCCTCTGATCCACAGCTACCTTAACTGCAAACAAATATCTTTGCAAAGCAGCACAGTCTTACAAATCATCAGCAGCTGTGGAAGTAGGATAAGAGAAAGAGTATTTCCTACATTAGACAGCAAGACTTAAGGTGAAAAAGACTTGTGACAACAAAACTTGAGGGAGATTGTAGTGAGGCCCTGGTGGCGATACCCTGGGCATAGTGGTGGAGACACTGTGGCATTGCCATGGAGATACTGTGGCAAGATGTGATCTGAGACTTCTTACATCTATGTTGGTCACAGTTAAAGGTATTTGCTGCACTTGCTGGATGCTTGAAGGAGAAGCTGACATAACTGCTCTGAGACAAAACTTTAGCTTCTGATCTGAAACCAGAGCCTGAGCTAATTGAGGAATTGTACCTTGGAAGTTGGGCTAAAATTTGAACTTGTATTGGATGATATTCTTTGTTTCTTCTACTCTCCAACTTCCCTAACATATCCCATTCTCAGTAACACAACTGTGAGTCAACAATGAATAAACGAACTTCTTGTTGTTTGTATGGCTCTAGAGGCACCACGGGGCTCAACTACACATTCTTTACCTGCTTTCTGCTCAGGAGAAGTGAAGGGGCTATGCTATTCTTACTCCCTTTGGTGCTTTCAGAGAGACATTCATGGCCCTGTGCCTCTATGTCCCAATTTCTCCTATTTAGACAGGTTGAATGGGCAACATTAAGACTACTCTCCTTCTCTCTCATTGCCATTGAGTTAGAACAGACTCATAGCTAATCTTCCAGTGAGTTTTCAGAGTCTGTAATTAAACCAAAGGAGACCATCCATCAAAGGAGCTGCTGGTGGATTTGAAGCTCCAGAGAGACACGGACTTTGGGTTACCAGGCCAACTCTCTGTGGAATAGGCAATCAGAGCTCCTTAAAAGACCTCTAAGGTAATTCCAAGTGCAAAGCAATAGACAAAACCCATAAACTTTTACTGAACAATCACTATATGGTAAGAAATGACTAGGACATAGTGGAGGATTGCAATGATTGCAATGAAGCAATTTTTTTTTTTGTCAAAAGGTGGTTTATTTCTTTAAGTCTCAAAGTAATGAAGTAATTTTTATCTTTTCTATTTCAGGGATTGTAGCTCTACAAAAATATTGTTAAAATGTTGACTAGGCTAAGGTGTATCTGTAGTTCAAAGAGTATTCTCTATAAGTACCAGACGATGAGGAGAAAGACAGGACAGCAGAATCTTAGGAGTATCCAAAGCAAGACAATTGTCAACTGCTGATTGTTCAGTGTTAATTCATTGAAATCAGTGTTAGGATAACAGAGAAAGATTTTGAATGAGTAGTGTTTTCTGCCTGAATTCTTTTTTTTTTTTAAATTTAGTTTGTTTATTTTTCATTTCAATGAACATTTACAGAGATTTTGGAATTCCATTCATTCATTGTTGCACCCTTCTCCCCACACAAACCCCTCCCC